AACATTTATGCTTTCAAAAATCTAACCCTAAGAAACACATACAATACTACAACATATGTTGGTGAAACCTAAACCAAAGAATATCATGACTCACTACTTTCACTCATCTATGCTGAAAACAACTGACTTTTGTTATATATTAATTTATATCTCTTAAGACATATGTTAATTACATAATTCCAATTTTTCATTTATCAAATTATTTATTACACAATTTTTTAATTATTTTTAAGAAAAACTGTCTCAGACGACTTGCGAGGGCTAAAAACGTAAAAAAAAAAAACTCTTTTTTTGTTTGTTCACAAGGGGTTGGTTGTAATTTCAACAGCCTTTTAAGTTACTTTTGCATTTGATTCAAGTTTGGGTTTACTTTTGCATTTCAAATCAAGTTTTGAGTCATATTTGTCAATTTTCCCTTGATTGTTACGTGATATGGACCAGACCATATATACATTTATCTTTGGAACCCTATCTTGAATAAGTATGATGTCTTCCAAGTTTTGGATCTCATCTCGATTCTTAGTTTTATTGCTAGAGAGTAATATTCATTTATTCTGGAAACCTATCCTGAAATACCAAAGTTCCTTCCAACATTTATACTATAATTTTCACAGTTAATTATATTTATGTAGAAGCATTTACCAGATGATTGTCCTCAGCCTAGCGGCTAAACAACCTCTATTTCGATAATGAAACACTTGACTCGACTTGGGTTCGATTCTCCTTCGAATCATGGTTGATCTGCTTTTTTTTTTTGGTTCAAGCATGGGTATTGGTTAATTAATCTAATGTTATCAACTTCTTGTGTATTGTGTTTCTCTCTCTATTGTGTTTCAATCAAAACAAAACAAAAGTTAAGAATGTAGAGGATTATGGGTCTTGTATCACAAGTCCATCCGAGTAGAATCATATAGTTTACGGTTAAATAAATTTATGTGGAAGCATATAGAAGATGATTCTCCTCAGCCCAGCGGCTAAACTGCTAACTTTCCAAAACACTAAAGACTTTGTTTCCTCAGGTTCGATATGTGGTGGACTCAAAACAAAATTTTATTTTTTCAGATATCATTTCATATATTTCTGGAAACCCATCCAGAAAACTCGAAATGCCTTCCTACATTTATGATGCACAAGTGGGAGTTAAAATTAATTATGTGTTGAAAATTAACAGATGATTCTCCTCGGTCTAGCGGCTAAACTTGCATACTCTCACGAAACACTAGACACTCTCCCTCCGGGTTCGATAATTGGTTGGTTCAAAAAAAAAAAAAAAAATTGTCTGAAAACATCAAAGTTTGAAACTTTTTTATTATTCAGATATCAACTCCTTAGTCCTTAATCTCTTTTCTTTTTTTTTTTAGTTTAAACTTTGCTACATATAGAAACATTTTAACATTTATTTCTGGAAACCCATCCAGAAAACTTGAAATGCCTTCCTACATTTATGATACACAAGTGGGAGTTAAACTTAATTATATGTTGACAATTAACAGATGATTCTCCTCGGCCTAGCGGCTAAACTTCCATACTCTCCCGAAACACTTGACACTCTCTTTCCGGGTTCGATCAGTGTTGGATTAAAAAAAAAATATTTTTTTTTGTTTGAAAACATCACAATTTGAAAAATTCCTATTATTCAGATATCAAATCCTTAGGTATTAATCTCATTTCATAGTTTAAACTTTGTTACAGATAGAAACACTTTAATATTTACTAGGGTAAACCCGCCCGTAGGGCGGGTGAATAAATAAACTATTAGTACAAATTTATTTAAAATATTTGATTTATTTTAACTAAAAGTAGCATTAACATAAAATATTTTACAATTTATTTTACTATACATTTAAAGTTATAACTATTTTTCTTCATTGTTTATTTTAGTTTAACTATAACAATAAGTCAATAAATGTTTTATTATATAGTGAGATTACTTTTGCGCAGTTAAAATTTTTTCATGAATTAAATTATTTTTACACATTGTTTTCTAAAACTAATGATATACTGTATACATGATATAAAAATAACTTATTCATTATAACTAAATTATTTAAGATAGCTAAAATGAAAATATCATTGCTATTTATACATATACATGTTTGGTAGAATCTTATAGGTATTATTATATATCAACATTATTGATTAAACTTTTAAATATATATTACTGACTAACTTATAAAATATAATCCTTACAAAATTTTATTGTACATAATTAAATTATTACATATGGACAGTTTATTGTTGAATAAAATTACCTCTTTCATTTCTATATATATATATATATAGTTAAATTATATAACAGGACTATTATAATGAACTGACAGACATGTAAATGTAGATGATGAATACAATTCTTCCTAGAAATGGTTGTGTGATGTTAAATAGTTTATTATGGAATAAAATTATTTCTTTTTTATTTAGAAATCCATAGCAAGAAATCTTAGAGAAGACAGACATAATTGGTCTACTTCATTGCCTCTTAACCAAACTTTTGATGAGTACTGATGCAGTTTAAGAATCTCACCGGCCATTTTAGATAGAGTTTTGCGGAGTTTTCTAATCATTGTTTAGTTTATGTATAATACACATCTTTTTTATGAGAGGATTTATAAACTTAGAACACTAAATAAGAAATCCAAAATTATTTATTGATCCCAAAGTTAAAAAATAATGTCACCAAGCTTTCTATAAAGTTGTAAGAATACAGATAAAAAATATGTAAGACCAAACTGAGGTTAGGCCATGATTTAGACGATAGAAAATAATTACCACAAAGAAATAGCAACTCGGTGTTTGTCACTAACTAATATGATAGATAAAAGGTAAGAGTTGAAAAAGATTTTCCCGTTAATCAGAAAATGAAAGAATATCAAAACTGCATGATATAAAATATTTAAGCCCTAAAATTCTCTCCTTTACTAACATTCGCCATCCAACCAGAATCCTAACGACGTTTACGTTGTGCCACGTGTATCTGCTCTGATTCTGTCGCCACTGCATTTTGCTCCCTTCTTCGTGCTGCTGGCTGGCTCGCCCGATTCTTTATTACCAGATTCTTATGTTCCCTCATGCATGTGGTTCTCATTAGTATGTTCCAGATTCGTTAGGTTGACCTGCAAAAAGAGTAATGGTGACTTCAAGATATGAAAGAAAAAATGGAGACATTTGAGGGAGAACTCTAGCTCAAAACTTCAACGCACCACAATGGCAACACTGAGCTCGCAAAATTTAGGAAAATGGAGAGATTTTTCAAGTACAGAATGCGCCAAGAAAAGAGTGTTGGGTCTTTATTGCAGCAATTAAATGAATTATGTACGAAAGTGAATCAAACCAATGGATTCCATTGTGTATTTTTTTTTTTTTTATTGAGAGCTTAGTTCACAAAAGGAAAAGGAAAATTCTGAAGGTGGAAATGTATTCTCACAGAGTGTAGTTGGTGCAATGGGAGGCAGATGTTTCTACGTCAGCGTTCTCTCTACAAATTGAAGCAAGCTATCAGCCTCGGTGTACTCTCAAGGTCTTCCATGTTCTGGGCAGAAGTTTCTATAAATCTGAAAAATGCCAAAATAAGGTTTAAGCTCAGGAAAAGGCAGAGGTTGAAAGAAAACCAATAGGTTGGTGCAACAAATCACAAAGGACCAAATTACAGGTCATGTTTTAAACATCTTATACAAAGTTGAGTAAATAAGATGTCATGAAAACTTAAACTTGCATGCTTTGTGCGAAATATAAGTGCTCATGGAAAATCTCAATTCAGAATCATAAACCTCGTCTAGGGATTCCACTGCAGAAATCAAATTTATTATCTTTTGTTAAGACTTTAAGCTTCTTTGCTAACCGGTCGGTTCTCTAAGTTCTCACGCACACCTAAAGAAGGAGACTAACCCACAATTCGTGATGCTGTTGTATAGAGGAGTACGTGCAGAAAATCCATGACCTAAAAATACAAAAGCCATATCTTGGTGATCGAAGAGCTGCAGGAGCTTTAGCTGCAGAAAACATATGAATAAAAGAGTTTAGAGACTCCCTTGACCTTAAACCGTAAACAACAATTGAAAGCACTAACTAACTTGAAGAGAAACTACTTAGCAACAATGATGGCTTCGTGAAAGAATGATTATGTCTCAAAATCATCATATGCTTCTGTAATATGCAATGCATAAACTTTATTACCCAGTTGCATTTTACAAAGTATTATCTAATTAAAACTAAACACAATCCCAAGCCTCGCAATGGCGGAAAAATAAAAACTCTACACACACTGCAATCCTAGGTACTAACATGAAATCTTAGACCCTCTAGCACTTGTTATAAACGACTGCAGACTCAAATGAGACTCATTTTATGAATCACAGGACTTCAAAGTCGAGTGTATAACGATGTGGTGGAAGGATGAGACACTTACATCAATGCTTATTATGGCTGCCCTTACAACGTCCAAATGAAGTTTGGGAGGGTAGTGTACTCCTAGAAAAATGCATGGTGTTATGTTTACAGGGGTAAAAAGTTTGAGTCCACCTTAACAAAACTAATAAAGAGTTTCTTTCAATTCTCATAACATGAAGACAACATACTGCTTACGGTCATGCTCAGGAAGAAGAAAAAATGAATTCCAACATACTGCTTACGGTCATAAGTGAGTCCTTTCTAATAGAGAATGTAACATTATAATTAAAAACCCAGCATTCATACATACCAACGATATTACTGCTCCATCAAGAAGCACTGAGTCATATACCAAGCTATTTTCTTCTACCAAGCTCGGTTTATACGAAGGAATGAGCGGGGAACTTCTATAGGGAGATAAAACACTGAGTCACCACGGCATTGATAAACCCTGAACATACATGAAATAGACACAACAATCATCAAACTCTAGAAGATATTTCAGTGAAAAAAGTTTAACATAAACTCTCTGTTAAAGAAACTAACTTTGTATTATGGATTCAAGACGGTTTATAAGAAATAAATTTATAGTATGGATTCAGTACGGCGGAAAGGTATAAAGCATTTGACCGTGGAATAAATTTGTTTATGAACAGAAGTGGGGTTAAAGAAAAGACCTGAGAATCCAGTAGCAGCATATCCACACCAATCAGTTTTATATTCTCGAACCTTTAGTTATAAAGAACATCAATCAGTTTTATATATACCTCCAAAACGTAAACATATCTCTCATTTGCCACATGTTCATTTGGTTGTAAAGCAATAGGGTACCAGTAAATATGATACAGAAACCAGAAAAGCTTCACTTTTTTCGAAGGTTATCCAGCCTTGCCTGAAGATCACTAAATATTCTCCCACCGTCCTAAGCTCCGGCCGCCTCAACTTGCACCACCTTGTTCTTTGCTACTGGTGCTGCCACCGCACCAGATGGAGCATTCACCAGCTGAAATACCAACAAACCAGTTAAGGATTTTATAGGTGGAAACTGAGAATAAGGGAATTGCAATATAGGCCTTTTTCACAAATCGTAACTTGATGAGTATAACGGTGAAATCAGCCAGTAATCAGTCAAGATTCTATTTCGTTTTTTTTTGTTTAATGGATATGTAAAAGGAATACCTCCTGGTTGATATCGATACGGATACCGATCTCGTCAAGGTATCTTGCTCTTCCTCATCTTCTTCCAAAGCATCATCAATTGAAACTCCCATGACCTCAGAGACTCTTGCACGATTTCCTGAAGAGAAGGAAGATTCATCTGCCTGGTCATTTGACCAATCGCTTTAGTTAAACCTTTCATTGCCTCACCAATTTCTTGTGTTGATTTCAGAGTCTCAAATAACCCAAAATAATATTAGTTTGTTTGTAGAAGAATAAGAATAGATTGAACAACTTGCACTACTAATTTTTTTTTGGTGTTACTGGAAACGAAAATAACCAAAGCCAAGAAGTCAAGCATACCTGGATCCTGAGAGAATTGAGCTGTAAACCTTCTCAATCTGGTGCCGTGTTCTGATAAGGTCCTTTGGAATCACTTTCACAGCTCCCTTGGTAAACCAAATCAATTATAGTCAAAATTGTGAAATAGCACAATCTATTGAATCAAAGCTCACTAAAAAATAAGGCATAAGCCAACCAAACACATCATTATAGCACACATTGAAATACTCCTAACAAATAAATTTCTAACACATACATTTAACGAAGGATACAAAAGAGCTAAAGACTATTGTGAAATATATAAACAGAAACAAACAAACCATCTGTCCCTGCTTTGCGGTTTTTTTAATCTCAGTGATAAGTTTCTTCTCTTGTGTTTGAAGGCGTTGCCTCTCCCTCTCAATCTCTATGATTGACTTTTCAAGCATCCTCTTGTTTTCCCGCAGAAGTTCTGAAACACCAAAACCAATTTTTTTAAAAACAAACATCATCAGCCGAAAGATATATCCCAACAAAAATAGAAATCAAACAATTTCAATCGAAAGTTCCAATAAAAAAAAATCCATTTTTTTTCACAAAAGAGACAGAAGATTGGAAGAGGATTTGGATCCGACCTTCCAAAAACGGAATTCGTCATGATCAAATCTCAAAAGAGGATTTGTCGGAATTCGAATCAGCCACGATCAGAGTTGAAAACAATATCTCATTATGAAACTTGTTTTTGGTCAGGAAACGCTGCTAATCAGCCTCTGTATATATAGGAGGATGGAGAAGACTTACTGGAGAAGAAGGCGTCTCGTCGGCATTGAAGGATTGTAGAGTCGAAGAGATCGATCTATTGAACGATTCACTGAAATAGGAATCGCCATCAACCGCCAAACCATCTCGAAGGTGAGAAGGATACTCCTAGGTTTCTACACTTGTTTACATGCCGAAAATTTATAAAAACATATACCGACAAAAAAAATAGAAATAGAAGATGTTTAGTGACCTTTCTTGACTTGATAGAAGAGGAGTGGTTTTCAAGATGCAAGCTCCTCCCAATCCTTTGATAATTTATAGACTTTACATGGAGGAGTTGAAGAGGTTGACATCGTCTGAAGCTTTAATGGGAATAATAAAGATTGGAGAAGTGAGGAGATGCGATGATGAAATTAATGGGGAGGTTCGTTTGATCGATTAGGGAGTTCAAGAGATTTCAACGGAGTAGGGGAGTCGCGTCTCAGAGATAGACGGTGATAAGCAAAATGATTTTATGACATCACAATGTGACGTGGACTAAGGAGAAGAGAGTAGAGTTCTTCTTTATATATAAAGATTTCTGAAAACCCATCCAGAAATTCCAGAAAACTCGAAATGCTTTCCTACATTTATGATACACAAGTAAAATAATTGATATCCTTGCGATCTTTCTTATGTAACTTCAAGACCATCCTAAAAAAAACTTCAATAACATAACTAAATCAACATTCATGACAAGTTTTTTTAAAAAAAGTAGAGTTTTAACTTAACAAAAAATGTTTCCGTGCATCTTTCTCATTTTCTAAAGTTTTCTTTCACAAACTGGTTGAAGATCTCACTAGACAACAAGATACTTATAAGAAAATTCAAGAGCCATTCAAAGATATCAACATGCCTAAGCAGAACAAGACACCAAGCAAAAAAAGTTTCAAAATTTGTCACCATCCGAGTTTCTGGAAGGCTTTTCTCAAACTACACAAATGCTTCCTGAAATTTTTATAAACACTAGACAGCTTCACAAGCACATGCAACAAGAGACTAATAAGAAAATTCAAGAGCCTATCAAAGATATCAACATGCCTAAACAGAATAAGACACCAAGCAAAAAAAGTTTCAAAATTTCCGAGTTTCTGGAAGGCTTTCCTGAAACTATCCTGAAACTACACAAATGCTTCATGAAAACTTTATAAACACTAGACAAGTTTCACAAGGACAAGAAACAAGAGACTCATAAGCAAATTCAAGATCCTATCAAAGATATCAACATGCCTAAACAGAACATGACACCTCTAATTCAGGGTAGCCATCCTGAACAAGGACTGTCTAACATTCCTTACACGATTTTTTTTTGAAAACCTATCATGAAAATTCAACAAGCTATCGTGGATAACACGTGTGTTTTATAATGATACCAAATTATTATTCATTCACACAGCAAGAGTGTATTGTTGTATACCAAATGTCATGCAACTTAATAACATGTCTCACAAATAAATGGAGACAAGTTATAAACCAAATATCATTAAAGTCTGAGCATAAAGAAAAAAAAGGTTTTTTTAAAAAAATATTCAAAGCTTTATCCAAACTTGTCTCCAAGAAAAATCAGTTGGAAAACATCTCTATGAATAATATTGATCAGTTGAAATTGGAAAAAAAAAAACAGTGATGATAATATAAACTTGAAGAGATTTTGAGATTTATTACAGGAAAATGAAAAAAACATTTGAGGTTTCTTAGCTTTGTTTAGGTCATTCGTCGTGTTTTCCTTCTTCCTTCCTTTTTTTGAGTTTGAAGAAATCAAAATCAAAATACAAATGAGATAAGTTATGTAGATCTCAGATTCAGAAAGCAGAGAACAAAATTTTTGATCGGTGCTCGTCGCTTCAGCTTTTGATTTTTTTCGATGACGTTGAGAAGAGGCGACGATCCAAACCAAAATTGGTCATGTTCTTCAATCACTTTGGTTCTGATCCAACTGAATACCTAAGCTCAGGCAGAGCTAGTAATTAAGGTACTGAATCTCCCAATGTGTCCCTGTCCTGTGTATACCAAACCAAAATTTGTTTTCAAATAGTATCAGAATTTCTGGAAAGTTATCCTGAAACTACGCAATGCCTTCCTGAAACCAAAAGAAAAAATCTCAAAAGTTTTCCCAAGCAAATTAATCTCACTCAAACTCACGAACACAAGTAAACTCTTCTGCCTCATTCACACACACAGTTTTCAAACATTATCATACACCCAACTTAACTATAAAAATCCCCTTCCCTAAACATTCAATAGATGCGAATAAACAACAAATGAATATATCAGTAGGGATATAAAAGTGGGATCTAAAGGAGAAATCAAAATCAACCTGTTGTTTGAAAAAACTAAGCTTAAAACAACACAAGTTTTCAGAAGCAAACTCATCACAGTCACACTGAAGAACACAAAGCAACTCTTCTGGCTCATCTCACACACACAGTTTTCAAAGCCAACGTCAAGAAACTTAACTAACTCAGGCATAAAGCTAGAGTCTCCCATTTTCTCTTAACCTCTTCTGGTTAGCTACAGAGCCTAGACGTAACCTTCGAGGCTGATTCTTGAACAAAGATCTCCCTGTTGCTTAAAAGATACATCAAATGATCCAAGAACTTGCAACTCATCAATGCATTCAAACAACCGGGCGACCCGAAACACTAGTTATTGATTGCCCTCAACTCTATATCTTTAGATTTGGAAGATGACAACATATTGGGATCTGATAATATACCTCTTGATCTCTTCAACACCAACAAGACTCCTCAACACTCCACACGAGCACTGTCAAAAATCTGAATATGAAATAAATTAAGCTTGAGAGGAGAAGAAATAGGAACATAAAACATTCAAAATCGCTTACCTAAAGCAAAGTCACAAACTCGTCTTCTTTCGTAAATAAAGCTTCATGAAATTTCTTTTTTGCGACTTTGATTCTGCCTTTTCTGCTTGATTCAAACAACAAAACAAGTTCAAATGTGTTATCCGAAGAACAACAAACTGAAACCCCCAAAATTCAATCGAAAACCCTAAGTAAAATTGAATTTTTTTCATAAGACATTGATAATAACGATTAAAGCATACCGATACACAGCTCGTCACGTTTTTCGCCGAAGATTATCAACTGCTCGTCGCCGGAGGTGATTCGTCGAAAGAGGTGATTTGTCGGAGGAGGTGATTCGTCGTAATGTTGTCTAGAAAGAAGAATAGTGTTTTTTTGTTAGCTGTATTATTTAGTGAGGATTATTACATTAATAAATGTCATTTTTTAATTTTTTTTTTCTGGTACTATTTTGGTGACAAAAATTTCAAAAAAAGCTATTATGGAGAATTGCCCAATTTTTTTGCCTTTAGGTTAGCTTTCATTAATTTTCCTAATTAAAATAAATGTATTAATATTTTATTATAATTTTTTTTTTTTAATTTTCACTTGGCGGCTTCTTCTTGACCTTTCTTAGACCAGACTCCAAGATTGCCCATTTGGTAATCGTCGCCCTAATAAACTCTGCTCTAATTTCTTTTTTCTTTCTAAAAGAAGGAAGAAAGAAAATCAAACCCCTCTTTTTTCTTTCCCAGATAGTCTAACCAAAGGTTTAAACTACGTTACAAAAACGTTGTTCGGAATCTTACCCCTTCGTGAAGGTAAAACTCGTCTTCCTCCTTTAAGGTTTTTTTGTTAGCTTTTAAGAGTCTTTCTTACTTGTTTGGGCATAGATAGTAGGTTTCCTTAACCAGAGTAGCGGTTAATTACTTGAAGAATTGATCAGCCAAATGCGATGATTTGAGTTGGATTGTGTAAAGTTCGATCCTTTAAGCGATAATTTGAGTTGGGTTAGTGTAAAGTTGGATCCTTTGAGAAATACTTGTAACTGGGTTACTTCCAGATTCTGGTTTGTTTTTTCCTCTTTAAACAGTCTTTTATGTTTTTTTCTTCTGGGTTTTGAAACGGTACTGCATTTCTAGTGAGGGTTTTTTTTTTTTTTTAACAGATCTTTTCTTTCTTAGGTCGCGGGTTGAAAGTATCGGGCTTTGTCACTGTGAATGGACAGCCTTGCATCTGCAACAGAGTCTATGCTTATGGAGGTTCTCTTCTTATCCTTTGCTTCTTGTAACCTCTCATTTTCAAGATCTGATCTTGTAATACTGTTGCAGTTTTCTGAATGTGGAGTTGTGTAAGTTACAGGTTGATTCTGAGAAACAAGCGATTAAAAGGGATAGTGGCCCTGAACCTGACTCTAGTCCTCCTAGTCCCAAAGTAAGCAAACATTATTAATACCTGTCTTCAGTTAGCTCTGCTTCTACCACATGTATTGGTTAGGCAAAGGTGTTTATGATAAACAGTGACTTATGTATTTGCTACACCGGTTTCAGCCTGAATCCAACCAATTCTGATTTTGATTAAGTTCATGTTCTCTGCAAATCTCATCTTTTGAGTTATTAAGATTGGTTCTTATTATTTTTGTTGCTTCTTAGGTTTCTCCTAAGTGGAACCCATCAGAAGCTTGCAGGCCCTCCCTTGATGATGCTCCCATATTCTACCCAACTAATGAGGTACTTCATAAACTCCACTTGGAGTTTTGCTTCTATCTTGGTTCTTCAAGTGTTATCTCTTATTGAAAATTTTCATCCTTTTGATGCTTTCATGGACAGGACTTTGAAGATCCACTTGCTTACATAGAGAAGTTGCGCTCTAGAGCAGAATCATTCGGCATATGTAGAATTGTTCCCCCTGTCGCATGGACGCCTCCCTGCCCTCTCAAGGACAAACGCATATGGGAGAAATCTAAATTCCCCACCCGTGCTCAGTTCATTGACTTGCTTCAAAATAGAGAACCAATCAAGAAGTCTACCAATAGCAAGAAGCGAAAACGGAGAATAATCTCCAAAATTGGATATTCAAGAAGAAGAAGAAGAGATTCAGACTGTGATGTTGAGTCCCCTCAAGATGCTGAAGGGAAGTTTGGTTTTGAAACTGGACCAGATTTTACCCTGGAAGAGTTTCAGAAGCATGATGAAGACTTTAAGGAATCTTATTTCCAGGTAGAGGATGGTACAAATAAGAAATTTAAACTCAAGGTTAAGGATATTGAAGGCGAGTATTGGAGGATAGTGGAGCAAGCAACTGATGAAGTAGAGGTATGTCATACAAGCAGAGCTATATGAATAGTTTCACCATTTTTTTTTCTAACTTGCTACTTCTGTTTTTGGGTATGTGACAGGTTTACTATGGAGCTGATTTGGAAACGAAGAAATTTGGAAGTGGGTTCCCAAAGCATTCACCAGGGTCTGCTAAAAGTCTAGAAGTAGAGCAATACACTAAAAGTGGCTGGAACCTAAACAATTTATCCCGTCTCCCAGGATCTGTTTTAGCTTTTGAGAGCTGTGATATCTCAGGAGTTATTGTGCCTTGGCTTTATGTTGGAATGTGTTTCTCAACTTTTTGTTGGGTAAGTTTAAGTTATAGCATTTCTAAACAGGAAGTAACTCTGGGTACTAATTATCTGCAATCTACACCTTTACCTTGTTTGATAACAGCATGTTGAAGATCATCATCTTTATTCGTTGAACTACTTACACACGGGTGATCCAAAAGTTTGGTATGGGATCCCTGGACACCATGCTGCCTCTTTTGAAAACGCATTGAAAAAGCATCTTCCAGATTTGTTTGAAGAACAGCCTGACTTGCTTCATCAACTGGTATCATTTTTCCCCAATTATCTTTCATTACTAAGCTTTCCTGATCAGGCGAGAGCAGTCGTTTGGTTAATATCAATATTCAAGAAATTGTTAGGCAGTAACTAGCATTTTTATAGATGACTAGTGAATATGCAGATTATTGATTTATTGATTTAATTTATATATATCTATCTATCTATATTATTATTTGCGAAGTGATTTTTCGCAACGGAGCTCTCACGTTAAAAGTTGGAGTGCTTAATATCGATTATACCCTTAATGAAATTTTTATATAACTAACTTTATAATTAAAAACGAAATTTAAAAAATAAAATTAGATTAGTATGTTATTATGTTAGATAACTTAGAATAATTAATATAATAAGTTTATAAAAAAAGCAAAAATAAGATAACTCTTATATATGTCATTATCATCTGAATATAATATTGTAACAATATGATAATGCTTATATATCTTAATTTTATATATAATTGATTTTGACTTTTGAAAATAATATCATTCTATTATAAAATTTAAAAATTTAAAATTTAAAATTTAAATTCAAAAATCGATTTTAATTAAATATTAAGCAAACAAAAAAATTTGTATAAAGATACTTTTAATTAAATATTAGATATTAAAAATTGGAACGTTTCAAGTTAATGATACCTTTAGTGAAATTTATATATTTATATATAAATTAGTTAAAAGAGAATTTTATGTTAGTGATAGAAATTTATATGTTATTATATTAGTTAATTTATTAAAAATTAATAGGATAATTATCCACATTCATGCATATTTAAAACATAAGATATCTTAGAGAATATTATACAGTTATCTGGAAATAATATTTTTTATTATGAAAAATAAAAATTTAGTTATAAAACAATTTGCTTATATATCTTAATTTTATATATAATTGATTTTGACTTTTGAAAATAATATCATTCTATTATAAAATTTAAAAATTTAAAATTTAAACTCAAAAATCGATCTTAATTAATTATTAATCAAACAAAAACATTTGTATAAAGATACTTTTAATTAAATATTAGATATTAAAAATTGGAACGTTTCAAGTTAATGATACCTTTAGTGAAATTTATATATTTATATATAAATTAGTTAAAAGAGAATTTTATGTTAGTGATAGAAATTTATATGTTATTATATTAGTTAATTTATTAAAAAATTAATAGGATAATTATCCACATTCATGCATATTTAAAACATAAGATATCTTAGAGAATATTATACAGTTATCTGGAAATAATATTTTTATTATGAAAAATAAAAATTTAGTTATAAAACAATTTAAAATTAAATATTAAAAAAATATAAATATATTTTCAAAATATTTTATTATGTGGATGTTTTTCAACACTATAATAAGCATATAGATTTTGATGAAAATTCATATAAAATATTTTAATGTTTGATTTAGGTTTTTTAAAACTATAAAAAATAACTTATAATATTATTTTAAAATTAATAATAGTTTAAACCGGTTTGAATCATATAAATTAGATCTTAAAATTGTTTTATGACCGAGTTGACGCTTAGACCAATTTTAAAACGATGGTTAAGATATCTATTATATTAAAAGAGAAGTCATGACTCACTTTACGTGTGATATTTTAGTTTGGACTATTTTTAGAGTTTTATAAAATTTTACATAACATTATAATATCATTTATATCTTTAATTTTTGTTTGAAATACAAATAAATAGTGTTAAGAAAATTCTAACAAAATCTTTTAAAAATCTTTTAGAATCTTTTTCAGGATATAGTTTCAAAAATTATTTGATTAAAATTTTAATTATCATAAAGAATAATTAAAATTTTAATTCATTTTTAATTTATAAACAAAAAATTAAAATTATGTAAAATACTTTTAACATTATCCCAAAATTTTGTTTATGTATTATGTAGGTCCAACTTAATTAATTTTTACATATATTTCAAATTTAGAAATAAAAAATATATATAAATTAGTAATCTTACATAATAATGTTTTTAAAAATTATTACAAAAATACAAATTTCTAAATTTTATATTAATAATATTATAAGTCACATGAAAATGACTATAAAATTGGATAGCATAAAGAATCAAATTATACTTATTTATTGATAAATTTTATTATATAATTTCAAATATTTCGTATTAAAATACCCGCACGGTTGTGCGGGTCGAAATCTAGTGTATGTTAATTTGCGCCTCCAATTATTTTATCAGGTCACTCAGTTATCTCCAAGTATTTTAAAAGAGGAGGGAGTACCTGTCTATCGAGCTGTTCAGCGCAGTGGAGAATTCATTCTAACCTTCCCCAACGCCTACCACTCCGGGTTTAACTGTGGCTTCAACTGTGCAGAGGCAGTAAATGTTGCACCAGTTGATTGGCTCGTTCATGGACAGACTGCAGTGGAAGGCTATAGCAAGCAGCGGCGAAAGACCTCCTTGTCACATGACAAGCTGCTTCTTGGAGCAGCTCGGGAAGCTATCAATTCCCTCCGGGAGCTGGCGGTTTCAAGGAAGAAGACTCCTGTGATTCTGAGATGGAAAAGGGTTTGTAGTGAGGATGGATTGCTTACAAAGGCAGTCAAGGTGATTCTGGTTCTCTCTATTTCTTTTTTCCTATGCATAGGCATGGTTACTAACATAGATAAGGTTGGCAGAGGCGCGTGGAGATGGAGGCAGAGAGACTAAAGGAGCTTGGAGATGGTTTTAGGTTGCTAAAGATGGAGGGGGATTTTGATATTAAGAGAGAACGAGAATGCTTCTTGTGCTTCTATGATTTGCATATGTCTGCGGCAAGCTGCAAATGTTCCCCCAACCGGTTTGCATGTCTCACCCACGCCAAGGATCTGTGCTCATGTGAAAGCAAGGAGAGATTTATCCTTCTTAGATACACCTTGGTTGAGTTAAGATCACTTGTCAGAGCTCTAGAAGGGGATTCTGATGCCATAGAAGCCTGGGCACAAAATGGCCGTGGCCAGAAGCCTAAACAACCGAAGAGAGTAAAAGAAGCCTTGGACCTCAAGGGTGCCTCCTGCTCAAAGAGTGGTGGTTCATCAAAAGCACATAAACAAGAAGAAAACAATCACCAGTTAGGCTCCGAAGGCTTACAAAGTGATCTAGTCATAGGCAAGGATGCTGCAACCAATAGGTTAAGTCAGTCTGTTGAGCTTTTGAAGTCTGGATCTCTCGTTGTTAAAAAGCCGTGGTGCAGTAAGCAAGCTATATATTCAAAAGGTGAGACGAATTGTGGATTTCGGATGAGCTTTGTACTGTGGCGCTGTTTATTTCCTTACAAAACTTTTGCTTTTGGGATTGAGTTTTACAGGATTCAAGAGCCGTGTTAAGTTCTTAAGCGTGCTTGATCCAACAAAACTAACCAACTACATCTCAGAGGTTCTGGATGCAGGGCTTGCTGGTCCACTGTTCAGGGTAGGGTAACTTAATCAATGTTGTGGTTTCTAGAGAATTGATTAAAATCATTTTGAACCAACGAGGCACTGCTGAATCCTATTGATTTCTTGTTATATATATATATTTCAGGTGTCACTAGAAGAATACCCCAGCGAGAATTTCTCGAATGTGTCAGCTGAGAAGTGTTGGCAAATGGTGATACAAAGACTCAAACTAGAAATCATCAAGAGATGTGATCAACCAGCTAGCTACTTGACCTCTTTGCAGCATTTGGATAGTATTAACGGGCTTGACATGTTTGGGTTTCTCTCCCCACACATTATTCAGGTAACACAATCAATAATCCTTTCTCTCCAGTCCTGTTTCATTATTTGGAGTTTGGACTAAACGTTAATACTGTGCACAGGCGCTGGAGGCCCTTGATCCGAAGCATCAGTTGGAGGAGTATTGGAACCAAAGAAGAGCGAAAGTGTTTGGTGGTGAACTAACAAAGGAAGGAGAAAAGGATGATGATACGGAGAAAGTAGGGGCTTCAGATCCTTCTATGGACCGGGACACAAGGCTTCTGCGTGGACTTTTGAAGAAGGCGACACCTGAAGAGCTAGCAATGATGCATGGACTTTTATGTGGTGAGACACGTAACACTGAGCTACAGGAAGAGCTCTCCTCTTTGGTGGATAAGATGGAGAAACGTCCGTGATGGTGAGCAAGCAGTTACTACCACACACTCGTTGAAGTTTAATGTGTTTCAGGCTTCAGTGATTATGTAAGAAGAATCTAGAGAGGTAACTATAGCAGACAAAAGTGTTAATTTCATATTGCTTGTACAACAAGTTTAGTTAAATCCAATTTGTTGATTATTAAAGATAGCCAACATAAAATTACCGGGCAGCCTTTCAAGAGCATTTGATGCGGGTTGTGCCCTTCCACAGTCAACATAAATCTATGCCTTTCTATAAAAATCAGCAACTTCATTCCATATACTTCTGTGCTAATGCAGCGGCAGACTCCAAATGCTTTGAATAACAGCTTTTTGTGACATTCTCATAATAATTATCGTAACTTAGATGAAAGGTAACAATTTTGCCTAGAAAAAATATAAAGTTTATGATAAAAACAAGCTCGTGACAATAAGCATGACATTTGAAACTTGAGATTTAGGTAACAAGTAGAAATCCAACATTAACCTCCTAACTCATCCCTAACTCTACAATCTCAACTCTATATATTACAACACCATTGACTCCAAAACATCATCACCAAACATACTCCATCACAAGCAAACAAGTCAGCTACAATGTCAATCTCAGTAGTCTCCCTCTGCCTAATTCTTCTCACCTTCCTCACTACCCCACTTGTGCTCTGCTCTTCTAGGCCCAAAATGGCGGTATCAGCATCAGCCTCAACAGAAGAAGCTCCAAAAAGACATATCGATCCTCCGGCAATGCTTGTTTCTGACTCCACCGAACTTGATTCATCCTCCTCCATGGCCAAGATTGATGATGAGCCTGCCACCAACTCTGCCATAGCCGGTTTCTTCAGGTATGGATTCCCATTTTTGGGCTGGCATTTCCCAATGGTTAAGCCTGCAAATCCTTCTGTTCCTGCAACACCGGTGACTGGAGCTGAGGAAGCAGAATCTGAGAAGGTGCCTTCTTCACCAAGCAACGAGAACAGAGACGGAGGTAATGCGTGAAGATTAATGAAGACAAGGAATGTTCTACTACAAATTTATATATTGTGTTTAATGAATCATTATGATCTAGTTTTACATAATTGTATCGAATGAGTAGTTAATGTACTATGTGCTATAAATGCTAAGTGACATTTTACATGGATAATGAAATTAATAAAACTTAGATTATTTACCAAGTTCTGTAACACCGATTTCTCAGGCTCATCATTTTGAGACGATTGATAATGAAATGAACATTGTGTCCTCTGTTTTTCAAATAGCTTGATTGTCCCAAAACTGGCCGTAGAGCTGTTGTTCTTCGCCTTAAAATTGAACTAACCTTGTCTACCTATTGGTTACTGAGAATAGGGTAGAAGATTCTAACATAAAATACCATAATAAGGAATCAAACCGACATTATAGGTCTCTTCGGACAGTTGGATAAGCCTCTACACTGACAGATGGCAAATTCAGATAAGGAGTTCAGAACCGCTAATTGTTAGAGCATCTCCAACCCCACTCCATAATTTACTGGAGTGAAAAATAGAGTGATGAAAAAACAAAAAAGTGATTCAAAATATGGAATAATGAGATTTTTTTTTCTTCATTACTCCATTCTCCACTCTAGTAAAATATGAAGTGGGATTGGAAATACTCTTAGGATGCAGACCGAACAAACAAACATTGAACAAACAAAGTAGGGAGGATAAAAGTTGAAGGATTCGATTTTATCAGCTAATAAACTTGATCAGTCCTCAGAAAAGTAACACTGGCAGATAGTGAAGAGACAAGATTCCTACAAGTCCAAAGCTAGATAAAAACTGTTTCTTTCGTAAGAGATTCCAAACAGACAATGACTTTATATATCCAAAATTCATAAGCCTGACATAAAGGTAATCCGAATAGTCCACACTTTAATCTTTTGATGCGTCCACAAGTTCTTTGTCATCCACAAAAAGCTGAATGTGTTCGCCACAGCTCCCCAAACAAGGTTTTAAGTTTTACCTAAAAATCCACAAACAAAGAAGATAGTGGTGATTAGTAAGTAGTCAGTACAGAAGAAGACTCGGATGTGATCACGGATAGTAATCGAGGTCACTGAAAAATTTGGTCTAATTAGTTTTAAAAAAGGGAATACATTTCTTAGACTGGAGCAAAAAAAATTCTGCTAAGACTTGAAAGGGTAAAGCAATGTGTAACAATCCTAGAGCGAAAGGTTCACATTGAAAAGACTTGTCAGGCAAAGATACAACGATTATTATAACTAAGGTTTAATGGAATCGTTCTTCAACAAAAACACAAGAATATAAAGCAACTCAATACACGGAAAAGAAGACACATTATTTGATCAGGTCACCAGAGTTTCTCGACTTAAAAGGGATAGTAATCAGGTGCAAATAAGATGATTATAAAAGTAGATGCTCACACTGCAAAGAATTGTTCAGGCGCAGATAAGGTGATTATAACCAGGTTTAATGGAATCATTCCTAAACAAACACACACAAGAATATAAAGCAACTCAATACAGGCAAAGACACTCACTAAATTGTTATAACAAGTTCTATAGCAATGTTTAACGATCAGGCGCAAATAAAATGGTGATCACCAGGTTTAATCGAAGATAAGGCAAAGACACTCACACGTTAACAAATATACAGAGTTTAGATAGATCAGAGATGCGACATGAAAGAGCGACACGTTAAACCTGAGAGAATGTCCAACCAAACAACTTAATAATGCCTTCACAATCTCACGAAAACAGGGGAAAAAAAGGCATTCATAGCTAACCCAATCACTGCTGCTGATTCGGTGGTGGCGGAATGTTGGGACGAGGAGGAGCAAAACCACCCGAAGGAGGCATTCCAGGGCGAGGAGGAGGCGGTCCCTGCATCCCATGAGGAGGTGGAGGAGGCCCTCTCATCATACCACCAGGAGGAGGACCCATAGGCCTCTGCCCATACGGAGGCGGCGGCGGTCCACCAAACTGCGGCGGTGGCCTCATACCGTAATTCGGAGGAGGAAGACCTCTCCCCATCTGAGGAGGACCACCAAAAGCCGGAGGCTGAGGCGGAATCATCTGCCCCGGAGGCCTCATAACCGGAGGCCGAGAGATCTGAGGCTGCATCATCCCAGGCGCAGGCCCACCAACTCCACGAATAGGCCCAGACAACCCAGGCTGAGCTTGAACAAGCGGGCCTGTAGGTACTCCACGTCCAGCAGCACGGCCCAATCCAGGCCCGGCAAGAGCAACCCCTGATCCAGCCTTCGCGCGAGACTCTTCGGGAGGAGGCGGTCCTTCGACTGTCATGGAGATGACTTCTTCGCCTCTGAGCAAGACTAAGCCGAGCGTACGGCGCTCTTCTCTCTCTTCGTTGATCTTCTTGCTGCCTTTACCAGGTGGGAGCTTGCGGAACTCCTCGCAGTCGCCGAGGACGAGGTTCATGTGGCGGTCGAAGGCCATGAATTTGCCGATGAGCTGTCTTCCGTCTTGGATTGTTACTCGCATCCTGTAGTTTATGAACTGGAGCATCTTTGAGCTCTTCGACATCGACATTGTTGTCGATTTGATTGTATTACTCGCGGCGCGATTGGGTAGAGATTCGACCGGTGAATCGAGTGTGCCGGAGGACTAGAGAAGAAGAGATCGAGGTTAGGGTTTCAGAAACTAAATCGAGGAGCCAAAAATTTGGGGGTTTTGCCTGTGAGAATAGGGTTTTATATGAAGACTTACTTATGGGCTTAAATTATAAATGGGCTTGTCCATGGGCCTGCACTGTAGAAGGTCTAGGTTTGGTTGGACAAATGGTTTATAATGGTTTGGAGTGGGTGATTCCTAATAAAATAACGGGAAAAAAACATATTTCAACCTGAACGTGCTTTTTCCTTCCCCAAATCTTATATATTAAAATAGAAGTCACAATCTTGATTTATGTATGATATTTTTAAAAAATGGACCATCCTTAGAAAATTTATTAGATTTTCTATAACATTATTATAATATCATTCATATATTTATTTTTATTTGAAATACAAAAAAAAATTATAAAAATTCTAACAATATCTTTGTAAGATCTTTAAGATCTTTTCAAATATAGTTTCGAATTAGTTAATTAAAAATTTAATAATAAGAAAATATAATTAAAACAATTATTCATGTCTTTATAACACAGATTTAAAATATATAATTTTTTTAACATTATTCTAAAAATTTTCTTTTTTATAATATTGGTCCAAATTAATTTCACTTTCTCATATATTTTAAATTAGAAATAAAATAATTGTTAGTGTTACATAATAATGTTTTTAAAAATAAAAATTTTAAATTTTAAAATAATAATATTATAAGCCACAGTAGATAATATATAACATCAAAGTATATTAATATACTGATAATTTTTATTGTATAACATAAAATATTTTAGTATTCAAAAAACCCGCACAGTTGTGCGGGTCAAAATCTAGTTTATCTTTATAGTAGTGTATATTTCAAAATTGAACTAAATAAAAATTAAAAGGTACTACATAAACTTTATTCATGGTGCATTTTCATTCCCAAACTCTATAATAGTGCATATTCCACCCTAAACTAAATAAAAAAATATAAAAATACTACATGAACTCTCAAAAACGTACTTATCAAAATGACATCATTTTGGATAAGTTTTCTAAAATTAGAAATTTAAAAATACTACATAAACTTGCGAAACCGTGCTTATATATATTAATCATCAAAGACGTTACCCATCTAATAATTTATCAAAACGGCATCATTTTTATAAATTCTGTAAAATTAATTTAAAAATACAACAAAAACTCTTAAAATTGTGCATATATAATATATAGATATCAGTTTTATCAAAACAATATCATCTTGGATAAATTCTATACAAGTAAAAGTTACTTTTTTGGGAAGTTCAAACTTTCAAACAAGAGTATAATAATTGCTAGAGCAAAGTAACTTTCTTGTATAAATTGTATAAACATTAACTCATTTAAGTTTTTGATCAAATAAATGTTATCAAATATTTATTGTCTTATAATTATTTATGTTTTTAATTTAAATATTCATTTTATACTTGACCATTAGTGTGAGAATTCGAAAATCCCATATTTTGTTTTTAGTTTTATAGAACTTATCCTAAGTGACGTTATTTTCATAAATTAATAGATAACCAACACAATTGATGATCAATATATATATAAACACAACTTTAAGAGTTTGCGTTGCATTTTTAAACTAATTTTACAGAATTTATAAAAATGATGCCATTTTGATAAATTATTGGATGGGTAACATCTTTGATGATTAATATATACAAGCACGGTTTCGCAAGTTTATGTAGTATTTTTAAATTTGTAATTTTAGAAAACTTACCCAAAATGACGTCGTTTTGATAAGCATGATTTTGAGAGTTCATGTAGTATTTTTATATTTTTATTTAGTTTAGTGTGGAATATAAAGTTTGGGAATAAAAATGCATAATAAATAACGTTAATGTAGTATTTTTAAGTTTTAGTTTAGTTTAGATGAAATACGCACTACTACAAAATTCGAGAAGGAAAATGTATGATTGGTAAAGTTCATGTTGAAATAGGTCATTTTCCCTTAAAATAACACATACATTATTATTCAAACATTGATTTTAAAAAATACTTTAAAATCTAGTGTTATTGAACTTTTTATTTCATAAAACATGTTGAAATACACTGTTAGATTGTTTGAAAGGATTTTGTTAGTTATAAAAGAAAACCTAAATCTCATAGTTTTTGATGAGATTCTAAAGTTGTTTAACAAAAATAACTCAAAATTTTAAATTCTCCTACAATCATCTAAAAATCCATTAAAAATAAATTATTTCAAATTAGATTCAATACACCTATATATTAATCTTTGAAAAACTACATATACATTAATTATTTTAAAATTTCCAAATTAAAAAAAAAAGATTTAAAGTGAACAAAATCTTTCTCAAGTATTTGTCAATGTATTTGATCGATTAAAACAAATATGATACATGGAACACACACACACACAAAAAAATCAAGAGAAATTGTTTTCCATAAGGACAGAAGAGTTTTTTTAATATTCAAACACACATTGTGGGGGACTTTTGGCATGAATTAGCGTGCATCAGGATTGTGTTTGGTCCCAAAGCTTGTGCTCAGTGCAACAGAACTTTTGGAGTCCACATCATGTCTGCCTTCTTTCCTTGAGTTTTCAGATAAGAGACACTTTTGTAGTTCATTTGCAACCTGTGACATTTTTGGTCTTCCAGACGAGGATGCACTAACGCGTGACATTGCGAGCTCAAGAGCCTTCCACATTGAACTAGAGTCATAATCCCCAATGAGACTTGGATCCACAATGTTTTTGATATCTCCATTGGTTAACCTAAATCCAACTCACTCTCCTATGTGAGACTTTTCACGCGTAAGGGTCAATCACAGGCTGGCTAGAAATGATTTCCTGTAATACAACTCCAAAACTGAAGACATCGCTCTTCACTGTCAACCAGTTTGTTCGGTAATATCTGTATTACATATAAAAATCCGTTTGATCAGAAAAAAAATCCCAAGATGTAAGAATAGGTAAGGATGTCAAACAAGCTCTCCCATCCCGTCCCATACTGCAGCGGGCTCAGCTTCTCGCGGGTCGTGGAGGTCATGTCCCGCGCGAGATGCGGTCTGCGGAAGACCGTCCCAATCCTGCCCCGCAGCAATGCATAGGCTTCTACGGGCCTTCCCGCGAACTAGACGTCAATGGTGCTGCAGGCTGCTCCAAGTTGCTTCAGACTGGTCATAGGCGCTTCAGGGAGGTCTAAGACGTTTCAGGTTGCTCCATAACATACCTGTGTGCATCACATTGAAGATATATCAACCATTTGCTATTTTTTTTTTTGAAACTCCAACCATTTGCTAGTTAAACTCACAAAATTTGTTATATATAGTTCTGGACATCATTTACATTATTTATAAAATTACATTAGTATTCATTTCAAGTCTATTTTCTGCATTTATAAAATTAGGATTCATAAAGTTTGTGATAAAATTAGGATTCATATGTTTTTTGCTGATGACTCTTTGCTGTTGCTTAAGGCGGAGGAAAAATAATGTATGAGATTTGCAAGATTTTACAGGAGTATGAGGCGGTGTCTGGCCAGATGATTAGTTTAGCAAAGTCTGCAATTACTTTTGGAAAAAAGGTTGACGAGGAGAGGAAAAAGAGAATCAAAGATCTCACAGGGATTATAATGAAGGTGGCACTGGAAAGTACTTGGGCTGCCAGAATGTTTTAGTGGATCGAAGGTGGAGATGCTAAAATATATAGAGGAGAAGATGACGGCAAGGTTCAATGGCTGGTACGGGAATTTTTTGTCTGCTGGAGGAAAGGAAGTCTTGTTGAAATCGGTTGCTATGGCGAAGCCGGTTTTTGCGATGTCGGTTTTAAACTTCCTAAATTGGCATGCCAAAAACTCACGAGCGCTATGGCTAACTTCTGGTGGAATGCGTATGAGGGGAAGAACAAGATGCACTGGGTGTCTTGGGATAAATTGTGCTTGGATAAAGAGAATGGAGCCTTGGGTTGCAGGAATCTGGAACGTTTCAACCAAGCCTTACTGCCCAAGCAAGGTTGGAGGTTGTTAATGAGAGAGGATTCTCTTTGTCCTAGAGTAATTTAAATCAGATACTACCCCAACGGCTCTTTCCTAAAGGCTACACTTGGAGCTAGGCCCTCATATGCATGGAGGAGTGTTCTGTTTGGTAGGGAGCTCTTAGTTAAGGGATTGAGAAGCAATATTGGCTCTGGAGAAAGTTTGTCGGTGTGGACTGACAAATGGATGTTTGATGCGGCTCCTGTGGCGCCTTTGAGAAAACAGATTATTTTTGATTTAGAACTGAAAGTGTCCAATCTCATTTGTCCAAGAACCAGAAACTGGGATCGAGCTAAGCTGGAAGAGTGTTTCTTTCAGGAGGATATTGAGAGAATATGTAAACTGAAACCAGCGTGGGGTGAGAAAGATTCGTATGAGTGGGTACATAAGATGTCTGATGCTTTCTCGGTTAAATCTGGATACTGGTTATCGGGAGTGATGGATCAATCTGAGGTGAGAAGAGAAGCTCTGGCTAAACCATCAGTAAATGATCTTAAAAGCAAAGTGTGGAAGGTAAAGACTGCTCCCAAGATACGAATTTTTATGTGGAAAGCTATGTCTCAGGCGCTAGCGGTGGGAGAAACGCTAGCTTCAAGGGGCATGAATGTAGATGCACGATGTCAGAGGTGCGGTGTTGATGTTGAGATTATCAACCACGTCCTTTTCTCGTGCCCCGTGGCGAGGAGAATCTGGGCTCAGGTTGGGTTCCCTTTCCCTAGACGAGGTTTTGAGAACATAAACCTGCTCGAGAATTTTAGTTATTTGCTTGAGGTTGAGAAAGATAAGGCCATTCCTCAGGAGCTTAGTGTGATTTTTCCATGGGTGTTGTGGATGCTGTGGAAAAACTGAAATTCTTTTTTGTTTGAAGGGAAATCCTATGAGATAGAAGATACTGTGTGGAAAATTATGGAGGACGCAAGACAATGGTGCTCTGTTCATGAACGGAATAGTGGAGAAGATTTGGTCTTTGGCGTGGGTCGTAAGGTGGCTAACAGATGGCGAGCTCCAGATGTGGAGAGTCTAAAATGCAACGTTGGTTTAGCATGGTCTAAGCATACAAAATAGGCGGGTGCCTCTTGGATTGTGCGGGACTGGAGAGGGTTTGTCTTGATGCATAGTAGAAGGGCTTTTAATGGGATCAATTCTCTCGCCGAAGCAAAACATTTGGGGATGCTGTGGGCAATTGAAAGTATGGCATCACATAGAATACAGAACGTGATCTTTGATGTTGAGGCGCCGGAATTGGTAGGAGCGGTGACGCACCCGGTGGCTTGGCCGTCTTTTCGCGCATATGGGAAGGAACTCACCAATGCTCTGAGCAACATTCGTGAATGGAAGATGGATGGAGTGGTACGGAAGGCTAATGTACCGGCTTTCAGAATCGCTAGAAGTGTTACACTAGAGAACCGAGTGCAGTTTTATGTAGCTCGGGGAGATCCAGTGTGGTTACGTAATCTTTTCTTGAAGGAGAGGGAGGAACTACGGCTCTGAGATATACATATGTTTTAGGCTCTGTATCTCACATGGTGTTTTTTCTAATTTTTTCTGCCTGTTTTGTGGCAAGGTTTTGTTACTTCTTCTTTGTTTCATCGCATACTTTGTTTGGCGATTGGTTTTTGTCTTTGGTGTTACTTATACATTATGCAATCTCCGAGTTAAAAAAAAAGAACATGTAGAAGAAATGTAAAGTCTGAACCAAATTGAATTTTATAAAAACACCAAATCAAAATACTCAAACAAAAGTAAACAACTTATAAATCAAATCTCAAATTATAATAAAGTAAAACACCAAATCAAAATAACATTTCAAACATGCTCCTCTTCATCTTCAATCTTCATCTTCTCCATCGACAATGAATTCAAATGAAGGTAATTTCTCTTCCTCACCATCACCAGCGATTTATTCATCTGATAATATGAAAACTTAATTTACTTTGAATTAAGGATAATTACTGTATAATAAATTATAATGTGAATTCTCTACCATGTGCATAAGATTCACATCCCTTGATCCAGTTCCTAGTTCATATCCGAGCTTGCACATTTTTTGGGAGTAGACGGCTCCTATATTTGTTTAGAACTCGTGATCCAATACTAAATGAGGACTCCGAAGCCACTGTTGCGATTGGAATACTTAGCAGATCACATGCCATTGCAGCCAAATCACCATACCGATGCGCATTATCTTTCTACCAATCGAGGATGTCCATGCTCTGGAAATTAGTAATGTCCAACGGTGGTTCATCAAGATAAGCTTCGAGAGGTGTCTTTCCGCTCACAACGCCACTGACCTTTTGAAATGCAAAGAAATCCTAAGAAGGTTTTAGAAAAAAAAATTAGAGGAGTTAAAAATAAATGAAAAGTAGGATAAATTGAAACAACACTCACATCTTAGTTCTCAAACAATCTCATTGACCTTGTCGCACATGGTTGTTATGAAACAGTCTCACGTGGCTCTGTAGAAGGTGAGTTATTCTTGAAGTTTTTGTCATAAGACTCAAACAAAGTAGTAAGCTTCTCCCGCAAGTTCTTCAACTTTGCATCACGTGTGGTCATGTCAAGCTTCCATAAACAACATTCGACAATTGAAAGCTCAAACCGTGGGTCGAAGACTGCTGCCATTGCAAAAACATCACTGACTTCAATCCAATATTTATCGAACTTCTCTTTCATCGGTGGCACCATGTGTCTGACAATCTCATCTTCGTTGTACTCATTCTGTTGAAGCCAACTATGGATCTTCCAAACCTGATAGAAATACAAATTCGCAGTAGGATAATTTGAACGAGACATCAGACTTGTAATCACCACAAAAGGACCTAGAAAACATCATATATTCTCGGCTCTAGCCCTCTATTGACATACCTATTTCTAATAGGTATAATTTTAGTGAACCGGGTTGTGTTATAGATCCACTTACTCAGGGTCAAGATAACCTGGCGATCCAGCCACATTTGTTGACACATGAGTTTCATTTCCCACTGGAAAAGATCTTGAAAGGCCAAAATCGCCAAGTTTAGCTTGGAAATTCTTACCAAGAAGTATATTAGTAGATTTGATATCTCTGTGAATCATTGGTGGTTTGCAGCCCATGTGTAAGTACTCCAGTCCTATTTAAAATAATTCAAAAAAGATCAATGCAAAAATCAATAAGAAAAGAGAACATCAAAAAAAATTTTGCAATCATTTCTAAACCGATCTAGTTTCTGTTACTGTATGACTAATACATGCTAAGGTAATGATATAAATATTTTTAAATAAATAATTTCTAATTGGTTTATAATTTATTTTATTTATTGAATATTATTGCGTTGCTATCGTAACTAACACTAGGTGGATGGCACAATGTGCAAACAATAATATAATTTAAAGATTATATATTTAGAATTATTTCTTATATATTTTTGATCATTGTATATGTATGCACAATAATCTATAGTTATGTGTGGCTAGTTTATAGAACATATGTATCATATTTTTAATTGAGAACACGTTTAATTTTGAAAACATATTAATTTGATTGCTTGATCAAATTTTAAACGTGACTTGGGCAAAGATGACATATATCGATAAGTCATAGCCACCTATAGTTAGATTTGCATAATTGTTGACTAGACTTGCGGGTAGACAAAAGGTTTAATTAAGTAGAAATAATATATATATATATATATATATATATTATTCAATTAAACTTATTTGGTAGACAAACAAATATATTAATAAAAATTATAGAGTAGTCAAATTAATAAATTATCAGTATATATAAATTTAACCATTACTATTATAATATTATTAATAAATAATTTTATATGAGTATATAATAAAATCATATTGTAAAGTATATAGCATATAAAATTTAATTTATATGAATTATAGTCTTATGTCAAAGATAAAACATAATTTTTTTTCATTAATTTTAATACAGATTCTAGTTAGACTTTGTATATCATTTTAGGTGTTTGGTGTTCATGTAAATGGCGAATGCCTGTTTCATACGAGTTTGTATAAGACTATCCGCCATAATGTTTTCTTAATACATGTATGAATTTTATATGCTGAAACTCACCTTCAGAATCTGAATATTTTTTAAGTATGTTGTAAAAACAGGTCATTCTTCTGGTTATAAAACCATTATCACCAATTGAGAATAATATGTAACAAAAGTAATATGGAACTGTCTCAGATTTCTCGTACTTTATATATCCCAAAATGAGTGTCTATTTCTGGGTAGTGAGAGACTAATACTCGTATTTCTTATCCCTGAGAATCCATCAAAGTCAAGTAGTGTACTATACCAATTTTATTTTGAGCATTGTTTCCTTCATCTATCTATAATACACTAACATCCATGCAATATTGACAACTCCCCCTCTCTCGAAGATAAACGATTTGTTTAGGGCCGGTCCTGGGCTAAAGCCCATAAAGTTTGGGTTTTAGGCGCCAAAAATTAGATAAGTTTTAGGGGTACCAAGATTGATTGATTCTGTTGGTTTAGTGGCTTGTGTTATTCAGTTCTTGACTTAGGGATGCTGAATTCAAAACCGTATGATTTCTTTTTTCTTTTCGATTATAACTAAAAGAATCTAACTGATTTTTATTCCTTAATTGATAGTTTCTGTTTTTATATTCTTTTCATTAAATGATACTATTAGTCATGCAAAATACATCAACTGATTTACTTTCTACATCGATGTCATTTATTAAGATTCATCTTTCTTCTTCTTTCATTTACCTTAATTTCCGTTTTGTATATCTTTTTCCATTGTTATATTCTTACATTTTACTAATTATATTTTCCCAATTAATTTTTTATCTGTATTTTGAAACTAAAAACAAAATTGAGGGTCACAAGAACTGATTAGCGGTTTTGATGAAAATTTCAGCAGGATGAAGAATATTATTTTTTTGTTTGGTTTAAAAAGCTTAAATAAAGACAAAAAAATTGTTGCTGGGGGCATGATTTTGTTAGTGCGCTTTAGGCGCCATAAGACTCCGGACCGGCACTGGATTTGTTGCGTTGATGCAACTTGTCTCTATATAAAAAACTAAAACAAAATTATGTAAAACATGTAAAACATAAGAAAACTATTTTTTAAGTCTGTATACCTTTATATAAAATCGCTGATTATTAATTACATAAGCTATTCTCCCCAAAAATATATATGCAAAATGTATAATACTAGACTTTTATTCAAGCTATTCTCTCAAAAAATATGCAAAATGATTAATACTAAACACTTATTCTGGTCTTTCAAGAAGCATATCCATGAGGATGAGACTTTTGCCACTTCCAAGCAACTTCAAGACTTTCTTGAAGATTAGTGAAACGAGCAGACCAATTAAGATCTCTCAGAATCTTTGCTGGATCACTGTAAACCTCTGCATAATCTCCAGGTCGTCGAGGAAAAAAATCTACTTGGATATCTACTCCCGTCGCTTTCTTACAAGCTTCCACGAACTCCTTCACTGATCTTCCTTTTCCAGTTCCTACATTGTAGATTCCCACGTTTCTTGGCTTAGCCTTCTCAAGAGCCTTCACGTGAGCATCAACGAGGTCAGTAACGTCAATGTAGTCACGAACACAGGTTCCATCTCCTGTTTTGTAGTCTGTTCCTTTGACCTGAAGGCCTGGAATCACACCACGAGCTGCATCAAAACAAGCACCTGATATGCGTCCGTGTTCACGTAGCTCAGGCTTTGGAGCTTCTCCTAGTCTCCCTTCCGGATCTGAACCGATCACGTTAAAGTATCTGTGAAAGTCATAAAATATGATCAGACATTGATTGTCTCAGAATCAGGAGACTCAAAGGCTTCAAGAAAAAACAGAACACTGGCCTTAGGATCATGACGGCCATGTCAGAATTCTTAGAGAAATCAAGGATCATATCTTCAGCCATCTTCTTAGCTTTTCCATAAGGGTTAATTGGGACCTGAAAACCGATAATTTCAAAATCTGATGAGACATGATCATGCGCTTGAGAGGGTTTCTAAGAAACTGTTTTAAGTACCTGTGGAGTAACTTCAATGATAGGCATCTTGTCAGGCTCTCCATAAGTGGCACATGTGCTTGAATATATAAACTTCTTCACTTTATGTTTAGCCACAGCTTCAAGAACGACTAATGTGTTTGATGTAATGTTGTGGTAATACCTACAAAACAGAAACCAGATAATTCTTTCTTCAGTAACTTTACATGAGATTAGCTAAAAAAAAAACTACAAGCAATGGCTAAAAGTTTTACTTTAGAGGGTCTAGAGTGCTCTCGCCCACATAAGCTACTGCAGCAAAATGCATAACAGCATCAAACGCGTTCTCTGAGAAGATTTTATCGACCTGAAATGTTTCAGTCGAAAAATATACTTAATACAAGATATCAGAAAAAAATGTTCAAAAGAAACTTAGGAGTGTAAATGGTTACAGCTTTGGCTTCTCCTAAGTCTGCATAAATGAACTGAAGCCTCCCAGCTTCTGGGAACAATCCCTGTAGAACCTTGACAGCGCCAAGATTTCCTCGAGAAAGATTGTCCTGTTTGTGAGACAGAGATACAAGTTTAATACAAAACCAAACATTGCAGTTTAATTACTTGCCACGAAAGAAAGAAAGGTTACCACAATGGTTACACGGTATGAATCCTTTAGCAGCCTCAATGCAGCATGTGATCCTATAAATCCAGCGCCACCAGTGACTAATACATGTGTCACTCCTTCCTCGCTGTGAGAGAACTGTGAAGAACAAGAAAATTAGAACAAAGACCTTAAGAGTTGAGATTGCATATACAATCAACTAAAAGACGTAGACAAGGAGAAATGTATCCACACATTAAGAAAATAGTAACGCATCAAATATCTTAGCATAGAGGATCTTGAAGTTACCGCGGTTGGTGATGTGAAACTAGGTGCGTTCTTGAGCATTGTAATGCATAGAGCTGTAAGAGAAACTATCAATATAAGCCTGCCCAAGAGATTGCTCCTTCTTTTGGGTTCCAAATAATCCATCCCTGAATGTTACAAAATTGAAGAAAAGATTGTTATCTATACATTTTTGGGAAATTCTTTCCACATTTGATAAAAATGATAGGTTGATTCTAGACCTACCTCCTGCAAGAGGGCTTGTGTTTCTCCCTGGACTTCTTGTTCTAGAGAAACTTAGCATTTTGACATTCAGAAGAATCTGAAGTTAAAAAAGCACCACAAAAGTGTTATGTTCTTGGTATTGAGAAAAAAAAACTCCATAAACAAACTCAATTTATGGTTGGAGTAAAAAAGAAAATAATTTATAAACTGATCATAGGAAAGAAAAATAATATTGTGTTGAGTGGGACCTGAATGAAAGAATGAAAAACAAAGATAAAAGACAGGCAAAAGTTGAGTACATTTTATAGGATTTTTTTTGGTCAAAACGTTTTATGGGAGAGATCAGCTATTCAACTTATTATGTGACAAGTTTAATATTAATTTAAATGTTAACTGAAAAAAGGAAATTTCTTAGAGCATTCACATCAATGAACCCCAAGAGAGAGGGGTTCATTTTTTTATTATTAAAAATTTTCTGTCTTTTTTTTGATTTTTTTTAAAAAAAAAACAAAAAAAAATCTAGACCAATCCCGAGCCGCCACGTGTTGAACCTCAAGAGAGAGGGATTCACCGGGGTGAACTTTAGGAGAGAGGGGTTCATAGATTTTTGTTATTTTATTATTTTTTTTCTTGATTTCCGTGTGAAATCCCCCCCCCTCCCCCATAAACCTTCAATGGGGATGCTCTTAGGCAGAGAGCATGTTTGTCAAAGACAGAACAGAAACAGACAAATATTCTGACAAAAGTCATCGTGTTTGATCAGAGTTTGTTGTATAATGAAAAAAAAATACTCTTCTCAGAAATTACGGATCAGAAGGAAACCCAAAATTGATAAACGTTTTAAACTCAATTTGGATCAGAATCTCTGATAGTAATAATGGAGACAGAGATTGAGAGAGAATGTACCTGAGAATTTGTGAGAAACGGATTGAGAGGAAGAAGACTTGATATGAATGATGGTTGAAAAATACAGATGTCCAACGTTATTAAGGAAGGGAGTGAGAGATAGAGAGAAGAAGGAGGGAGGACGAACGTAAGAGAGACAGAGAGAAAGTAGGGAGAAGCGGGTGGAAGAGGAAGCGAAAGAAAGAAAGAAAGAAACGTGCAATGCAAAATTAAAGCACAAACTACGACCTGATGACCAAGTCTTGTTGTAGAGAGATCTTTTCAGAAAATTTCAAAGTTGAGGAGTTTTGTAGTAATATGTGATATATCAAAGTTATGGGAGATTTTTTTTAAACCTAACCAAAATTAGTAACCTGTTTCATTACAACAAGTGAATAGCTCGTCAATATAAAATACGACATAACATCTAGCTCTGCTTTGATGGATATTCAGAACATTATTTTCACAATTGCAACATGTGAATGTCTTTAGAAAACAAACTTTATTTTCAGTCATGTTGTGGATGAGAATGAAACTCACGGAGAGAAAATGTTTATACTTATAAAGGCCACACAAAAACAATGTCATTGGTCGAATGAATGTCCACATTCTACATAGAAGAGTTTGTTCCCTTCAGGAGAAACTGAATGAGGTGTTTAGTTATGATCCGATTGCAATGATTGTTATAAGCAACCATTTGTTACAATCTTCATTTTCTGTTTATGTAATCAAATACTACTATTGGAAGACAAAATAATCGATAGTGATCACGTTTCTTTGCTGTCTAGTTGTAGCGACTGTCTAACCATCTAACGTGATTAGCCGACGACTCGATCTTAGACAATTAATTTCCTAAGACATACGTCATATATGATTCTGCTTTAACATACATAATAGATAGCAGTATAGCACTTGATAAATTTCACAAATATACATAAATTTCAAGTAATAGGTTAAGTGCAATAGTAAACTCTTCAGACTGCAGATAGATCGAATGCATCAATGAAATAGCTCCATTATCACTACATGAGTTATATGCAATGACATACAAGAATCTTGCTCTCACCTCTTCTTTGGATGCTGCTACTCAGGCCAGATTTGGAAAAAACTTGTAGAAGGGCTTATGCAAGACATGTTTACTGCTGACTGGAGTGAGTTAGTTGAGATTGTCTCAAAACCGTGGCTCACACCCATAAAGACCTTCATCTTGAGATACCCATTACAAGCAACAATGCATACAATATGGAGGGAAAGAAATTCACGTAGGCATGGTGAAAACCCGAAGGATGCTAATTGCCTGATAAAGTTTGTTGACAAAACTGTGAGACTCAGACTATTATCAGCTCAAGGGAAGGGATACAAACACTTTGAAGAAGACTGATCACATGGTTTGGGACAGGCAAGAATCATGAAAGATTTGGCAATTCCTTTGTTATGATTGTTTTTATTTCTTTGAATATATTTTACATTCATTAAAAAAAAATAGTAATTGTTTTTACATATTTCTTTATTCTTAGTTAAAATGATTGATTTTTTTTTTTCTTTTTGGGAAGATGTTAAATAAGAAAACAGAATCCACATGGACACTTTATTAAAGATCATTACATAGATAAATCTATCTGAAACTTGATATTACATAGATAAATTAAAAAAAAAACAAATTAATTAATAATCTTGTGAAAAAAAATTGTTTCCTGTTTCATGAAAACATATCAAGAAGATGAAAAATTTGTTCACGAAATCTGTTTCACGGTGCGCATCATGTTCTTGAATTCAAAAAAGTCAACACGACCATCCTTGTTCCGGTCAACGGAAATGATCATCCTCTCCACTCTCTCCATCTCACCTCCTTCAGGCAACCCAAGCTTCTTCAAAACCGCCTGCAACTCCCTAGCGCAGATGAATCCATCACCATTCTCATCAAACACCTTAAACGCCTCCGCGAGATCAGATTCATCGGCTGCGGCCGCGGCGGGGGAGGAAAGATCATCGTCTCCACCGAAGAAACAATCGTCAAGCGTCTTGTGGAGAGAGGAGAAGTCTTCGAAGTTGAGACCGGCGTTTCCAGGTTGTATGTAGGATTCAACGGTGGATTTGAGGTCGGTGAGATTGGCGTTGAGGCCGAGACGAGAGAGAGCTTGGCTTAGCTCCTCGAGGGTGATGAAACCGTCGCCGTTGTGATCGAATAAGTCGAAAATGCGTTGGAGACGAAGAGCGTTCAAGCTCGGGCTCCGTAGGCTGAAGGATGGTGATTTACTCGTAACTTTCTTCTTGTTATTCTCGCCGTTGCTCTCCATTGTCTTATTCTTCTTCTTCTATTTCCTTTACACTGCTTCGTTATGGAGTTATAATCTGAGATAAAGATAAAGAACGATTTGAATCTAATTATAGAAGAGAAACAAATGGGGAAGTGATCCGTTATTGTCGGCATTGACTGTGTCTGTCCCGACATGTACGATCTTCTGACATTAAACTCATACGGACAGAACTAAATCACTTGGCATTAATGCGAATAAATAGAAGCTACCGATTTTTTGACCCGTTCGTATGATCCGGGTTGGATCGGGTTGAGCCCATTTACAATCATTTTGTCCAATTTCATTATCAGCAAATTCTCACATCATAAAAAGACATCGAAACGCTAACACGGAAGAGAGAAAGAAACTAATCTAGAGACAAGGTGTGTCCGAAAGCCGTGAGAGCATGCAAAATTTAACTCAGAGAGGAGGTCTAGCTTGGTAAAAAGGAAATAGATAGGCACTACGGCTGTTCAATCAAAAGTTTAAGGCAAAGTGAACCTAAATCACCTTTCTATCTTTGAGTAAGACACAAGAAACCAATGCTGCATACTGTTCAGATTTAGCTTGAACACCTTGGAAGACTGAACCTCTCCAGCTCTCCTCAAAATGCTCAAAAAAACGAAGAACAATTTTTTTATAACAAACAAATATTGCTAAATCATTTACAGAATACATACCTAAATTCATCTTGAAAAATTGAATACCATTGGTCCGAATTTTTTACTGAAAAAGAAAACAAATGTTGCTTTCGCCTTCTCCGCCTAAAATTGAAACGGAAAACGAAGATAAACGCTTTATCATGGAATGAGTTCGTAAACGTATACATCATTTACTCGCAACAGTTTTACAGTGTAAACCACACAAATAAGAACCTTTTCATATTTAACTTTTGCAATACAACATAAGGCAACAATCAAATCATTTTTTGTTTTGCGTTGTCAGTTGGAGCGTGTATTGTTCTATTCTATCACATTTCTTTGTATTAATCTCAAATGAAACTTCTTAACAAGGCCCACATTATCTGCATATCTGTGATACATCAGTTTTTTAATAAAATTTTACAGATTATGGGATTGTATTTCATCGTGTACATCCCACATATCATAGACTCGTCAAACAAAATATTCATAAACTAATCTAACAGTGATTGTCAAAAAAGTCTTATCTAACAAAAACTTTTTTCTGTAAACAAAATCACTCGTGTATTGTTCCTTATAAAAAGTATTTACTGCACCAAGAATCTGGCGATTTTGTCTTTAAGCAAAACTTTATACATAAGAAGAATTAAAAGTCAGCAAGAAACATCATCATAGACGAAAATTAAAGGGAAAATTGGAACATTTTGAACTTTTATTTGTCCATATAGGACTTCTCATACTTTTGGCAATTCTAGATATGTTTTACCATTTATTAATGAAAAAAATAGTAAACTAATTTTGAAAAATAGAAAAAAAATATGAGAAAGCTAGAAAACCTAAATAGGACAACATATATGTTTAAGTTTTTATTTTTTAAAAGTGGAATCATATTTTATTTTATCTTCTAGCTACAGATAGAATATACATTCTGGTTATCTACTCAGTTTAGAAATCATATACTGGGTGTTCTTACTAGATAGACCCGAGGTATGAAACGTAATATAGCATTTCGTGTCTATTCTAACCAATGTAGTATTGGTAACGTTATAATCAAGGCATGTCTTTGGTGTAGGTGAAGCTAGAAACCGATTTATCACCATAACTTATTGACATACCTCATCCAGATTTTGTGCAATAACCAATTCTGCATGTCACCTTATGTGACGCTTGAGAAAGAATATGTTTCCCACCTTTTCTACTGTGTTCTGCCTTAGATAGTATTAATATTCTAGGTAATCCGCAAAATATGGAAACTTCCATATTCGGTTGAGATGTTTCCTAAGGATCTTAGAAAATATTTTGTCCACGATTTTCTCTTTTCCTCACGATCTTTTTCTCTGTTTTCTCTGTGTGTTCTACATTCTTCATCAATAAACTTCATATTTTCATCTTATCAATACAAGATGGTTCTAATCTACGTTAAATCCGGTGAATGGATGTCTAGTTGCAATGACGAGTGGAGTTTCATGGCAGACAAAAAAAGGCGTGGTCGAATGGTAACATTGGAAACTAGTACTGTGTTGGAGGAGCTCAAGATGACGGTGTGTGAGGATTACGGGGTGGAACATAATGCGGTTAACGTCGAGTTCAGTTATAAGATGGTATGTGAAGAAGGGTTCATCTACAACCTTGTGTGTGACGTTCTCTGGTACTGGTGTAAATCTAAAGGAACGAGTCAATATCGACTTGAATGAGAAGCCGTGTGATTCAAGTAATGTTGACGAAGAGGAAATTCCAGAAATAAATCGAGCAGCCTTTGGCAACCCGTCAAAAGAGTCTTTTGATACAACAAAGAATCTTGTCCCTGCAGATGGAGATAGTGAAAAGGATGCTCGATCTTGGAGAGGAGATTTCGTGACAAAGGATCAAATTTTGACAAGTAAAGCGGTTTTGAAGGCAACAATCAAAATTTTTGCGATGAAGAATAATTTTGATTACACAATATTCAAATCGACAAGGAAATGGTGGTATATTCGATGTAAGGATACATTGTGCAACTGGTCGGTGCGTGCAGAATGTACGGATGGATCTACCTATTTCATAATCAACAAGTGCGAGGGAAGACATTCATGTGCTCCTTCGAAGAAAAGCAAATTTGGAAAAACAACATCGGCAAGAACAATTGGGACTCTGATACAACATCGGTTTGATGATGCCATCGATAGCCCAAAAGCGAATGAGATCATTCAATTTATGAGACTGGAGTATAGCGGCGAGATTACTTATGGACACGCTTGGGAAAGTCGTGAGTTTGCGATTGCAGCTGCTAGAGGTATACCAGATCATAGTTATGCTAAAATACCAAAATATTTGCATATGATCAAAGAAGCTAATCCTGGTACACATACTCACTATGAGACTAAGGAGAATGGGAGATTCAAGTATCTATTTAAGTCGTTTGGGCAATCAGTTAGAGGATTCTACAATGCAATGCGAAGGGTGATTGTTGTTGATGGAACTTTTCTAAGAAATAAATACAAAGGAGTTCTACTTGTTGCTACTGCTGTTGATGGTAACTCTAATTTGTATCCGATTGCTTTTGGAATGGTTGATTCAGAGAATGACGATTCATGGGGGTGGTTCTTCAGACAGTTGAAAGTGGTTATTGCTGATTGTCAAGACTTAGCCTTTATCTCTGATAGGAATTCGTCAATCAGCAAAGCGATTGGGACTGTCTACCCTCAATCATCACATGGAATTTGCATTCACCATTTGTTGAACAATGTGGTTTCATTCTTCAAGACAAAAGGGTTTTCTGCCTTGGTCGAAAAAGCTTCACGGGCATATAGGTGCACTGAATTCCAGGAACGCATTACCGAAATTTTTGATATGAGTCCTGACCTTGGAAGATATCTACGTGAGGCTGATGTGCGAAAATGGGCTCGTTCTCTCTTCCCTGGATCCAGGTATGACATTAGGACCACAAACACTGCAGAGTCGATTAATTCAGTACTGAGAACACCTAGAGAATATCCGGTTATTCCTTTGCTAGACAGTATAAGAGAACTATTGACTCGATGGTTCTATGAGCGTCGCCTGTTAAGCTCGAAGCAACTCGATCCTCTAATAGTTAAGGTGGAGAAAAAGATTGATAGGAGAATTGTGAAGACAAAGGGATTTCAGGTTTACAACATAGACAACTTCAGATCGCTTGTGAAAGGTGACACTTATGATTGTCATGTTGATTTGGAAAGAAAAACATTCACATGCCGGAAGTTTGATATAGGAAAAATACCTTGCCGACATGCCATTCCTGCAATTTATTCACGACGTATGGAAGTTCACAAATTTACTGATGATGTATATACCACTGCAACATGGAGAACTGCCTATGCGGAAAGCATTAATCTTATAGCAATTCCACAGTCCGAGTGGAAAGTCCCAGCTGAGGTTAACCTTGCAAAGGTATTACCACCAGATACAAGAAAGAGTGCTGGTCGACCAGTAAAGAGAAGGTATGAATAAGTAGAAGACAAGATAAAATCTTCTCAAGGATCAAAGAAGAATAAAAAGCACAAGTGCAGCCGTTGTGGTACTAGAGGACACAAGAGAGGAACATGCGATGTACCCATTAAGTGTTTGTTATTTGTGTTCTTCTGTCTCTCAGATTTTTGTTCTTCTTATTTCCCTTGAAACAAATCGTTCTTCTGTTTAATTTCTCTTGCAACAAAATTGATTCATGTTAATGACTATATTTCTCTTTGAAAAAAGTTTGTTTTTTTCATTAGAAAAGTAATAAAAAAATAGAAAAACCATGAAATCGAATTGGAAGAATTATATGGGATCGAGATCGATCGATCTAAAATAGAGACCGATCGATCGGTGAAGATCGACTGAACTTGACAAGGTTGATCAGTTTCTGCTCCGTGCTTTTTTATGTTTTTGTTTAATCATCGAGATCGACTGTTGGGATCGACCGACTCTTTCTGGGATCGATCGATCTATGATAAATCGATCGGTGAAGACCGACTGAACTTGACAAGGACGATCAGTTTCTGCTCCGTGCTTTTTAATGTTTTTGTTTAATCATCGAGATCGACCGTTGGGATCGACCGACTCTTTCTGGGATCGATCGATCTATGATAAATCGATCGGTGAAGATCGACTGAACTTGACAAGGTCGATCAGTTTCTGCTCCGTGCTTTTTTTATGTTTTTGTTTAATCATCGAGATCGACCGTTGGGATCGACCGACTCTTTCTGGGATCGATCGATCCCGTCGTATAGAGCAGTTTCTTTTCTCAAACCTGCGATTTCGGGTTGTTTCCGGGCCGGGTCCTCGGGCCCAGGTTAAAATGCCCAGGCCTACTTTGAATCAGTTTTGATCCTCGGGTGTGTTGAATCATGAGCCACCTTGATACATAATGTGTTCTTCGTGTACAAGTATGTGTTGAATTGTAACATAAATTAAAAAAAAAAACATAAAACTGAAGTTGTCATTTGTTTCATAAATAACCAAAGCTGGAGTTTTGTTGCATAAACTGAAGTTGTCATTTGTTTCATAATCAGTCATCTTTTGACAGGTCAAAGACACCAGGCTTATCCCATGGTGAAGGCACATATTGAGTCATAACCTGAGCTAAGATGGGATTGTGTGAAGCTTCCCATAAGTCCACAGCAATCTTCTGTCTGCAGTCCTGGATGATTTCGTCATCTACTATGCCAAGGTCGAGACCAAGAAGATGGCATTGCAAGTGTTTGATTGCGTATGCTCCGCAATCAGCACAACTCTTGTTCAACCTTGCCTTCATCAGTACATCTACTATAGAATATGGTGATACGAGTAGCTGCTTCTTGCTTTCAGGTGGTGCAACGGCCTTCACTATCCGCGGAATCAAAGCCGCAAACTTCTCAACATATTGCCTATTCCTTCCTCTATTGCAATCAAAGACTTCCACTTTTCTCTCAATGATGTTGATGCAGACAGCAATCCAGTGATTACCTGCGTTGGATTTATACTAAATTGGTAAGTGAAGAAACAAATTTTGAGACATGAAGAGGAACCGGCGACTACCATTTACAAACTGAGGAAAATAGAGACGATCAACATGGACACCCCAAACTTGATCAGTCCACCCATAAGCTGGAAGCTCTCCTCTGCCGTAAGAAATAAGAAACTCATGCAATTCATAAGCTTTTTTGTTCGGGACAAACTTGTTGAATTCAGTGTCCATTTGGAGGCAGAAGATGGAGGGTATGAAAGCAACACGGGTTGGGGTCCAACGCTTGAAAGATGTGTTCACTCACCATATAAACATAATTGAATCCATTTCCTGAATATTCACGAGGACAGAACACCATTGAATCATCAAAGATGTGTTACAAAGGTATATTCACCACAAATACACTAGTATAAGAAATCATTACCTCATTCCCAAGCCATTATGGAGAACATATTATCCTTGTAGCTACAGCCAAATTGAAGAATGAAGGACCAATCTTTACAGCTATTGGGTTCATACACCATTTTATGATTCTTCGGACAAATAACAAAGTGACGACTGCGGAGAATCGTCGGGCAATGGGTTATCGAGAAGCTGGGGTGTACTGCCTTTGCCTTTCGTTCATTTCTTCCATTGCGACGGAGGTGGAGCTGTATTACCTTTGCTTCGTTTAGCTTTTGAACCTCTGACTGAAGTCATCGGAGTCCACCAGTCATCTTCCTTAGAGGTCTGAGATGGATCAAAACCCTGCACATACGAGGGCTGAGATAGCCTTTCAACGCCTTGCGTACCCATCTCTCGGAAGATATAATCTGCTTCACTGAAATTCCCATCGGCTGGACTATGAGACGCTTCCTGTAATGGGATACTAAATGATCAATTAAAAGCATAATATTAAGCACAAGAAAATTTGTGAAAATACAATCAAAATTTCACACAGCAAGATGTCTAGTCATTACCGAAATATCTTAGCAAAGTTCACAACCATACATAAGTTTAAAACAAGACACATACAAACCAATGACAAGTACACACAAAGACCTTATAAACACACAACAAAAGGCAGGCTGATATCATAGATGACAATAACACAAACAAACACACAAACATAGAAGACTAGTGTTTCTTTAGCCCGCGAGTGGACTTCCTCAACTCTGGCTGGCTCGTCGATGGCTTCGTCGGTTTAGGCTGTCCATCGTTCCCGGAATCTTTGAGCTCAACTCTAGCATCCTTGCGCGATCCTTTCAGCTCGGACTGCAGTGTCTCAAATTTCTCATCCATCTATTTCTGTAGCCTAAGTTCCATTGCATTGAAATTCGGCTCAAATAACTCTTTCACCCAAGCCTTCATGTCTTCATTAAGAACCGGTTGCTTAGGTTCAGTAGAGAGAACCATATGTTTCCTTTTTTCCATACCACGATCTGGGAGTCTCTTCTTACTCTTTTTTGATGAAACGCCTACACTAGTTGATCCATTTGGAGTGTGAAATTCTTCATCACTCTCTGCTGCTCCAGCATTCACAGCTGCTTCATCATCCAGATCCAGAGAAACCTCTGTAGTTTCTTCGAAAGCCCAAACATGGTCACTGAAGTCATGCTTAGTCCTTATATATCAACTCCATCAGCTTCTTGACTCTATCATCATTCACATCTTCTCTGTAAAAAAAACTCGCGACTACAACCATATTCCCTCTCCATGAGATGTATGGATAGTGACATCCTACACAAGAAAGGTAAAAAAAGTTAGAACCTTAAAAATCATTTTAAATCGGATTATTAATCTTAAAAATCGAAAATTACCTCAGTTGTAAATATGTTCTCCAAGCGGTTGATCTCCTCATATGACACCTTTGCAGCACCCCTCCAATTTATGCACATAGGACCGTCCTTAAAATCTTTGTTCAGTTTCTTTCCACAAAGCTTCCCAAGCTTTGGTACAACTTCCATTGCCCAAATCTGCAAGGCGTAGGAGAAACTATCTAACACATAACTAGTAGTTTTATCCCTCAGCTTGTCATGATTCTTAGCTATTGATTCGCAGAGAAGATCATAAGCAGCAACTCCCCAAGGATACTTTCGAACCTTCTCAAGATCCATGACCACCTTTACCCATTTGAGGGGGATATTAGCCTTCTCATCTCTCGCTAAAACCACACAAAGAATGAAGGACAGGTAGATCAGTCGAATGCGATCTGCATTTTCCACTTCATAATCGCTGACTTGTGGTTATTCCACAGCTTGAACAGTATTTGTTTCCCATCTTTTCTCCTCAACATCCTACTCCAGAAACCATCATCATCTTCACATTCATCAAACTCCTCAAGTGGGATACCAGTATTGCATTCAAACCCGGTTATTGCGTGGAACTCTTGAAGTGAAAATCGAAGTGGTCTCCTCGCAAAGGCAAACCAAAGCTCATGATGTTTGTAAGTCACAAGCTCCCTACACAACATGTTGTGTATCACTATCGCAGAGTATCCAAGACCATTCTCTTGTAGCTTGAAAATCTGGAAAAAAAAACGGATCTTTCTTCAGAACATCCAACTCCCTTGGCAACCACGCTTCAAACTTTTTCAGAATGTAGTCGATCCTGCAGTTGTTATTTATCTGAGTCACTTGGGTCTCCTTGCCCTTTTTAAAAAGCCTCTTTGGTAATTCCTCAGACATATCTACAAGACATGAAAAAATAGTTAGTTCAAGATTTCAAGACCAACTAATTTACAATTTCAAACAGAATTGAAGAACTACTAGTCTACATTACTAAAAGACGAACTAGTTTACAAAAGAAACATACACAATCGAAGAACAACTAGTATCAAAAAAAGTCATCATCGGCTCCAGCAACATAAACAGAAGACAGCAGCAAAGTTAGATTTTTTGTAGCAATTCAATAAGACAGAACAAAACACACACATGCAAATACTACCAGACCAATCAAATCATTAAACGGCCGAGAATCATAGAAACTTGAGCCTTGTTCCTACAAACCAACCACCATAAGTCGATAGAGAGAGACAAAACCAACCACCATAAGTCGACAGAGAAACCTCCAAACCACAAAGGGGTTATCGAAGTAAAGAAAATCAAAATAGAGATGAGAGAAAGACAACTCTACCTTCAGAATCTCTCCGAAGAAGATCTCTAGTCTGCTAGAGAGATCCAACAGAAGCTGAGAAGGTAGAGGAGAGAATAGAGGTCTCAACTTTTAGGAAAAAATCATGGATAAAGAAAAGGGAAAATTGAAGTTTCTCATACCTAGTGTTAAGAAGCTAATGACGAAAATTGTTGAGGAAGAACACTTCGAAAATTGACCCGATGAAACCCGACGAAAATTGTTGAGGAAGAAGACTTGGATTTCTTGTTGTTTCTTCGGTGAGATGGAAGAGGAAGATGACTCAGAAAGGTTAGAGAAGGTGAGAGATGAAGATGAAGATGTCAGAGACAAGGCATAATCGCCATGGGAGAGAGCTCGGGAGAGACCATGGGAGAGAGCGGAGAAGATGATGTAAAATAAAATTAGGTTATCGATTTGGGATTTTCCCTTTTGCTTTGTCCCGATTTTCCTATTTTTTTTGTTTTTTTGCTTTGTTTTATTTATAATTTAAATTTATAATTCCTCTTAATTGATTAATTTTAAGGGTATTATGGTATTAACAGATTTGAAAATCCTATTTTCCAAAAAAATCTTCTAAAAGTCTTATAAAGACAAATCCAAGTTGAGAGTGTCTAATTTTCCAATTTTCCCAAAATTAAATGAATGTGCAAAACTACAGCTAACCATGTAACTCATACTACTAGTAATAGTCAAACAAACTTAATGCGCCTCATCTCTGATTTTGATGGTTGATGACAATTCTTAATTTACATTTCAAAATGTCTATCTAGTCAATATCTCGATCCATTCACATGATTATTTGTTTTTTTAAGAGATGACGATTATTTGTTGATACAAATGAAAAGTATACAGAAAGATAAATAAAATGATTTTAGAGTCTTTTAATATATTTTTGGCAAAAAGTAGAAAGTTAAAGAGAATAAGAATGAGAAAAATTTGCTGATGATTTTGGCGAAGTTTTCTTCATTAAAAAGTTATAATATACAAATCGTTACATACTCCACTTCAACAGCTGTTTGTAATTTCAGTCGATGAACATTGTTCGTATCATATAATATAAACATCAGAAATTGCACCTATTAACAAAAAAAAAAAAAACTCAAATTCACCAACTAACCAAAATCACAGTTTTTTTTTATCTTTTGCTTCCTATCTTTTTCTACTCCATTTTTAAAAATCTAATTTTAGTTTTTTTTTTCACACAGATTCACACATAGTGTAAAGTCTTCTCTTCGTAACTTTTATTTATTCTTCCACAGTCCCACAAACCCAATTGGATTCTACTACCGGCGTTGACCACGGACTTTAAAACCAGCGAAGAAATGCAATTAACGTCTGCAATTGATAATAAAACAGTAGCAATATGTTATAAAATTATAGAAACTGTATATTCTCAATAAAAATTAATAAATTAATTGGCAAAATAGTAGTGCTCCAATTTTAAGATTACCATAAAAATAAGTATGTAATACATTTATTTCAATAATATATATATTGATAATATATTTTTATTGAAAATTGTGAATCTTATTTAATTAGATAAACTAGTTATATCTTGAGTGTTTATATTATTATTTTTAAAATTAAAACAATTTAATTGTAAAATTTATTTAAAAATTATATAATTTATTTTTGGATATGAACATAACTTTTCATATTTTTAAATAAAATGGTTATTTTTGTAAAAATAAACTAAAAAGGCTATCCAAGAATTTTTTTCTTTTTTATTTATTCTAACTGCATATACTCTATCAAAAACTCCATATAAGAGCATTGAACAAAAATCATTTAAAGAACATTAGTATTTTGTAAATGTTAATCTAAATACTTTTTGTAATAAACATTGATTGGATAATAAAAAAAATTATGTTTATATATTATGTTTATATTAATGTTCTACCAATCAAACACTAAATGAAACAAAGCTACATACTGAGACCACAAGATAAACATAGTGATATAAGATTGGTATCCACTAAACTTGAGATCACAAGATGATCAAGAAATTCTAAACTTTTTGGCTATTTTAATTTTACAAAAGGTTAAACAACGAAACAAATAATTTTAATTTAATATATATTACTGTTGGATAATTCCAATTAATTTAAGAAGAAAGT